ATTTCTTTCATGTTCTGCATTTCAGCAGCCATCTTGCAGCAAAAATGATGTCAGATTGAGGGTTGCTTGTCTGATGGCATTCTCTTAGAATTTGACATGTATGGCCATTGTCATATGTGACATTATAATTAAAACACAATTAATTGGTTGCCTAGTAACAAAGGAAGTAAACTAATGTGGTTTGACATTCAAAATTCAAAGAAATATAGTGGTCAAGACTTGCGAAACAAGTGAAATGGCGGTAACACTTAAGGCTGAAAGTTGCCATGTGCGAATACCGTTCCGGGTGGCAGGGTCCCTGCATTAAAAACTATCTAGAAAACTATATAAACTATATCATTTCTCCATGAAATTAGTACATAAAGTAGTTAGGTTGTTTGTCTTTAATATTGGAAAGTTTAAAGTAATTTTATCAGAAACCAACAAAAATAGAGCAGGGCGTCCAAGACTTTTGGATCACCCCTCGTATGTGTATTCATATTCATAAATTGAAGTTTATTTTGATCGATTGGATAGTTCTCATCCTAGCATGACATCTATACTTACATGTGAAATTCAATGTACTTACTTACCTGTGCACATGTACTGTAAATGTTTTCGTCATGCGCGTTGTGCAATTTTAAAAATCAAACAAATTTGCAAATATTTCACTTTGGGGGCTATAAGGACATATTTGGGAGGAGGTCAAATTGAGAATATTTTGATATATAAATAATGTTTCCATGGTAACCATATAAGTTAGAGATTGTTATATTTCTGGTACTGATAACCATGGTATGCCCTGCTTACTATAAAACTATGAATGTATGACATGCATTAGTATTCTTTTTATTAGGTGGTATTAAAGTACCCCAAGGTTTTCTTGGGGTGGGGTATGAATTGGCCTGATGGCCGTCTGCCGCCCCTACATGAAGTCCAACTACCCAGAAAGTGTCCAGCATAATCATACATACTGTTTGATATATGTTGGAATGTGTGATCTTCCATGAAAGGAAGAAGTTACAATTATCAGAGTAGTCCAGTCTATTATTCCAATTTAAATATAGTTATTTTGTCATTTTAATATCTTACTATAACCTAGGTTCTATCTTGTGTCACGATTTAAAGTACTCGTTAAATTATTTTATAAAATGTTCTATCTTGTGTCATTCTAGGTTCTATCCTGTGTCAACATAGGTTCTATCTTTTGTCACAATTTAAAATAGTCATTAAATTGTTTTCTGAAAGGTTTTATCTTGTGTCAACCTAGGTTCTATCCTGTGTCAGAATAGGTTCTATCTTGTGTCAACATAAGCTCTATCTTGTGTCACGATTTAAAGTACTAGTTATATCGTTTTATCAGAGATTCTATCTCATGGGTTGTTGAGTTGGCCGAGAGGGCTTGAGCGCCAGCTCGTTCAGGCTAGACGATTGGGTGCCGTAACCACGAGGTTGCGAGTTCGAGACGCATGTGCATCATGTGTTTATTAATTTACGTTAACCTGGGTTATCCTGTGTCAACATATGTTCTACGTTATGTTCTATGTTCTACGTTAACCTGGGTTATCCTGTGTCAACATATGTTCTATCTTGTGTCACGATTTAAAGTTCTTGTTATATTGTTTTATCAATCTATCTATCTATCTATCTATCAATCTATCTATCTTGTGTCACCATAGTTTTGTATTTTTTCACACTTTAATTATGAAAATTAGTAAAATGGTAAAATACTTACTCTTTACAATGCTGATGAAGATAAGTTCTATGCGTACATCATTCCTCAAATCTTTGTATCATCGTATTTCGTAGAATCATTGACGTGTGGCTGATTTCAGAAATTTAAAAATCTTCTTCATATACATACGACTGTGTATACACTATTACTGTGACCTACTTGATCAGCTATACGTTAATAATGATGTGCCGTAAATGCTCATCATGAACATTGGCATAAATTTTGATAAATGGTATGTTGTGTATTTACATAAATCTGATACATGCAACTATTTGTTGGATGCGCTCAGTCGATGATATAATTTATTTATTTTCACAATAAATACGCAAACACATTTAGCCAAATCAATCTTAGTTTGATAAATCCCCACTGATGCACAGTAATTCATTTATTTACCTCATTTATTGGTAAATATACAAGAAAGCATTTACAGGATTTAAACAGACTTATCCTTTTTGACCGATTGTAAAAAGTTTATCACGTGTGCTCTGTTATTATGTCTAAATTGGTGCATGTAGTCATACAATATAGTATTGCCATATGTTCCAGAGTGATCGAAATTTGAAATATATGCTGAATTTGTAGCTAAGCTTTTTGTATATTTAGGGTGTCTTGAATTCAAATCTGCAGGGTGCAATTTGAGCATTTTGCGGCATTTTACAGCAAACATTTTAGATAATAATGTTGACGATAATTTACTTTTCATGAAATAATGTTCATTGAATATTGACTTGATGTCATTTTTGATGGTCCATATGGTGCAACGAGGACTGATAAAGTTTTTATTCAGACAGACTATCGTATATATTTCTATTACATTTAGTATTTATTTATTTGTTTATTCCTATTGCTTTCACTATTTATTAATGTTTTTCGTTTATATGAAAATAAATCACCAAAACAATGAATCTGTATTGAATTGATTCTTACCTCTCGCAAATAATGCTTTCCCATGTGTAAGACACGCGTGCGTCTGACTTTTCTAGTGTATGTTTAATAATATTATATTAACACACCTCAGACGATATTTTATTTGAACAGTTGTCGTATAATGGCGAAAGTATACTTGTAAACGTTTGTGGTTGGAAATTTGCATTAGGCTGATCGTTCTAATGGTGAAATATGCGGATATTATGTTGTCTATTTTTATATATTTGTAGTTGTATATAAGCGACTTTTGATTTTTCGCTTGTTGTTTTTTCCTGGCGATTCCAACTACAACTAATTTATGCTGATCCTCCCCTTATACGTGTATAATCGTTCTAATGGTGAAATATACCGGATATTATTTTATGTTGTCTATTTCTATATATTTGTATATATCAGCGACTTTTGATTTTTCGCTTCTTGTTTTTTCCTGGCGATTCCAACTACAACTCATGTATGCTGATCCTCCCCTTATACGTGTATATCTACATGTAATACTTTATTGCACTTAAGTTAATTCATGTCATTGCAACGCAAACGTTGTTTGCATAACTTTATTTGGCACTTTATGTCCGACTTTCATTGTCACAAATAAAGGGAGAATCAGATACATTGGGAGTGACAAAATTGCAAACAACATGTACAGATGTTGTCATTAGTATCCTGTAGATATGACTCTGCCTTTAATCCACAAAAACATCGAAGTTTTCTGTTTTCGGCCAAATCAAACTCGTGCTCTGTGTCAGACGAAGTGGCCGAGTTAGATGAGCAAACAAAAGAATGTCAAAAAGTGACAAAAATGTGTCAGTTTAAGTCAATGGTAAACAATTAAATGAATTCATGTTCAGTAATTTCGTCTATACCCTATGAAGAGAATATGAATATTACACCAAGGAATATGCATTTTCATTCGTCTAAAAATGTTGAATGGAAATAAATGTAAATGGATAATGACGGACTCTCAGGTAGTAGATATACGTGATTCCATGAGCTCAAATTGTGAGCAAAAAATAGGCTTACCAGAAAATATCAAGGTCAACATCGTTTAAGTTAGAGCAACTCGTACATGTATAAGCTTACTTTTGCAATTGACGTGATATGTACTGGCTGATCCCCCCCCCCACCCCTTGGCTCGGGCCAGAAAAATTGTAGGGGCCCAAAAATGGGCCTTTTTTAGCATAACTTGGCTTTTTGGTCTTTTTAGGCCAAATTATCAAAAATGGGCCTTTAATTTTCAAATCTGTGATACGATACAGCAGATAGATGCATCGGACGAACAATAGATTTAAGATACAAATAAAGTCATTTCATTTGAAACCATAACTCCAAAGATCTAATAGAGTACGGGGAGCCATAACATATACCATGACAAACATAGACAGTGATATAATCATATCCTTATATCGGACACTAGTAAGACTACGCCATCTCATCAGCGAGTTGATAACCTAGTGATGCAATCTTCAAACAGCTTACCAAATACAGCATAGTGCACATAACAGTAAGTTAGTCATAATATCTGAATGGAATATCATACAGACTCACCAAGGATAATTGAATTGAATGGTGTTGTATTCTCATGCAGAATATATAGTAAAAATAGCTCTTCTATGGGCGATGTAAAATGACATTCAAAACAAGTACGTAGGTACTGTACTTTGCAACATAGTGGTCTGCCTTCTGGTTGTAGATTTTCGTAAGATATTTTGTTGTCCCCATCTGTCCCATTTTTGGACGATTTTCTCCATAACCGTATGTGTACAGTTAACACATAATCTTTAGTTTTAAAAAATGTTATTAGTATTCATCTATCAAGGTTCGATAATTCACAGTTTTAGTTCCTCGCTTTTGGAAATATTGTCCTCAAGATCTTGTTACTCTGTGAATTTTATCAGGATTGAAAAAGCATAAAGTATTTTATTTTTAGGTTGACTAAACTTGACAAAATGTAACGCTTGTCGATTTTGACGCTGTAAGGCTAATTGCGCCATATTCTACCATTGTTTTGTTTTAGTATTTTCACGCAATGTGTACATTCATATGCTACAGCAATAAATCTTTGTCAAATGAGAGAACATTAAACAAACATAAATTTGATGCACAAAAAGATTTGTCAAATTATATTGAGTAAAATTGATATTCATTGCTAGGTAGGTAATAATTTGTACACCCCGTATAACCAGGTAAGGATGTAGTAGAAGACGTTCACAGACGACCAAAATAAAACCACATACATAGAATGGGCTCAATAAAGTGTAAGCTCTTGTTGAATACTCTCGCTTGTGCCCATCGAAAATAGTTTTCACATTTCAAACCTCTGTATCACAGTAAGCCATTGCTGTTATTTAATATCATCTGTGAGATGACTCTTCAGTCTGTTGACATTCCTTCAGATCCTGATAAACTCAAGTTGACCTCTGCCAAACCAGATGATGCTATAGGATTGTCTATTGATTAACTAGGTGAGTCAATGTTCGTATCTTGTGGAGGTTCTTGCTGCACTTCATCAGTATCACTGCCTATAACACAGAAATAAAGTATAACTACATGTATTCCTAGTTCCTACATACAAGTACATCCAAATGATTCCTTCTTGAGCAGATTCGTATGTCCCTAAGGCATCAGCATATTGAACAGAATCGGTCAACTGCTGGTATTATAGTTATCAAAGATAACATTTTTATAAAAAAATAGCGGCCATTTTGAAATTAGCATCCATATTGAAACTGTGGTGCTTGAGCCGGGGTGCATTGCCTATAATACATTAGCCCACATGATATGGACCAAATTAAATTATTAAATGGTATTTAAATTAATGAAAAAATGCAGCCATCTTAAAATATTGCGGCCATCTTTGTATTTTCATTTTGAGCAGGACTCCCATTCCCTCGGGCGTCAGCATACAAAATTTAAACCAAATCTGTCGACTGGCATTTGTGTTATCAAAGATTACATTTTTACAAAAAAATGACAGCCATTTTAAATCGAGCGGCCATATTGAAAATATACGTCTGCTCTCAAGCAGACGTATATAAGGCATAACTCTATATAAAACCGAACCAAATAAGTCAACTGGTATTTGATTTATCGCCCGGACACACGAGAGAGGGACGGATGGCTTCTCTTCATCCTTACCAGACTTCTTTCGGTTGGATAGTTAAATGATGAAAAACATCAGCCATTTGGATTAGAAACAAATACAATCCGATCCCAAACTTTTGTAAACTCGCTTAATGACACGAAACTACTGAGAAGTGGAATACGGCTAGATAGTCTGGATAGTCCCATTAAAACCTTGTGGCTGGAATTAGGACGGGGACTATTTATATTTGACGCAAAATAATTACAAAGAATTGAAATAGACACGATTTTATTCAAAGTTAGCGACTAATGGCACATGACTCACATGTCGACATACCCTCCGACGATAGGCTCCTTGCAGCTTGTAAATAACTCAAGTTGACCACTCCGAAGCCAGCGGATTCTGTGTGATTGTCTATTGGTGTACCAGGTGGCCCACCGTTCGTATTTTCAGGAGGTTCTCGCTGCGCTGCATCAGTGTCACTGGTTGAAGCATTTGCTTCGGGGGAACTGTCTATAACACAGAAGTAGGGTATGTATTCCAATCTAATGCTTCTAAATAATAAAAAAGTAATAACAAGACACACAGTGAACAGAATCGCAACCTTGAACAGAAAACAGTTTTCAAGACGGATAATCCAAAATGGCCACCCTAAAATTTACCCAGAATGCGGAAATACTAATCAGTTCCAATCGTTCATAGGTAGAAACATGAAAATTTCAAATGAATCCCTAAATTGGTTTGGCTGAAAACTCTGGACAAGCCTTGACAGACAATATTTCAGGACGGAAATCCAAAATAGCCGCCTAACCATTTATCCAGAACGCCCAAAAACTAATCAGTTTTAAATTTGCATACGTAGAAAAATCCCTGAAATTCCAGATGAATCCCTCAAAAGGTTTCGTTGGAAACCTGTAGACAAGCTTCGACAGACACGATTTTAGAACGGAAAATCCAAAATTCCCGCCTTTTAATCAATCAAGAATGCCGAGAAACTAATCAGTTCTAAATGTTCATAGGCAGAAACATCCATGAAAATTTCAAATGAGTCCCTGAAACGGTATGGCTGGGAAAACTCTAGACAAGCCTGGTCAGACTAGATTTTAGGATTGAAAAATGGCCCACTTAACATTTACCCAGAATGCCAAAAAACTAATCAGTTGTAAACGTTCATAAGTAAAATCATCCCTGATAATTTCATATGAATCCCTCAAACGGTTACCCTGCGTGCAGAGTCTAGTTAAACTACACTCTGCCTAGTAGAGACCATATTACAGTTAAGTAGCCCCTCCCCCACGACGGGTACCGGTGACAGTTTGAAGAAACAGACGCCAAATGCGTTCTATGCGCATGTCATTGGTCAAATCCGGGCTCAACGATGACGTCAGAAGGAATGACCATATATAGAACGTCGGTCAAATTTGGCCGACGAACACTGATTGACGCGGTGAGTTCACAGGTTTATTTTAGTTTGAAAGAGTGAAGACGAAGCTCTCTTGAAGTGAAGTCAAACGAATGCAAAGGGTATCAAACGGTTTGACTAGAAACCTGTAGACAAGATTTATCGCAACGCTCACCCACCCACTCACCAGCCCGTCCGCCCACCAAGCGGCCCGGCAAACTGATCACAGTATAGCACCAAGGATGCGATAAAAATGGTAACCATATTTTTAGAAAAAGAAATGCATTATTTTTGAAATATTTAGTTTTCCTTAAATGCAGTATACACTCTGGAGTACCCCCCCCCCTTCCTGATAAAAATAATCATGTTTTTGAATGATATCATAAAAAGATTTGCGTACATTTAACATGGCCTAATTTTTTATAAGTTATGGGCGAGCATAGAGGACCGTATTTTTTTTATAACTACCTGTTTTATTTCATTATATACAAGTACAAATAGTTTCTGATATAAGTGACCAATCGCTATGAAAGGATAGCATTATATTTTCACTTTAAATATAAAAAGAACATTGGGTATGTGAAAAAAAATGTATTTTTCTGACAAAGTGGTTTGCTGGTATTTGCTAGGTAATGGTGCTGGGGCAAGGTGAAAAGATGATCTGTTGCAGCATAAGGAGGCCATCTTGAGCATCAGGTGGAATTGTCAGATAAAAAATTGTAACTAGTTTGAAAAGCATATTGTTCTGTTAAGTTGAATGATCAGGATGACCAAATAAAAATGTTTTGATTAGACCATTTTGTCCATTTGAAGCTTACCTAATAAGTGGAGGATGTTGACATTTAGATTATGAGAGTTCAGGTTGAGACCACAATTGAAAAATATGTGCTTGACAGTTTCGATTTCGCCACATTGACAGTTTGGTGAGTCTACATTTCTGAAGTTATGGGCATACATTTGTGATTTTAAAAATAAATCCACTCTCATTCTGTTAAGAATGATTTCTTGAGATCGTGACAGGGTCAAATTGGTAGTTGATATAATTTTGTTTTTATATTTGATCTCATTTTTGAATGAATAAGAAGATGGGCTATTTTTGATTTTGCTAGGCAGGGACTGAGTCCCATTTTTCCATCAACTGTATACACGGTGATCTTCTGAATTTTGTAGATATATTAAGAGTAATTAGGTAATCACGAAGATATCGGAGTTGTCTTGGGTTGTGGTTTTTGAATGGTCGAAATATATCAGTTACATATAGGAGGGTGCCCTATCATTTTGGATATTGTACATAATTTTCTTAAAGTGGTAATCTTTTATGAAAGTTAGATCAGGCCAATTTAAAATATTTAATGTTTTAGATGTGCTGGAGCCATGTAGTACTCCAGAGCATATGAGGGCAGCCTGGTATTGCAGCCGGTCAAGTTTTTTGAGATCTTTAAGATTTTTATTGTGATATAATATATCACAATATTCAAAAAGTGGTTTTATATATGATTTATACATTGTTTCGAGTGTTTGTGAGTTTAATTTAAATTTAAGTGATTTTAAAGGATTTAGTGCAGTTTGGACTTTGTCGCAGATATAAGAGATGTGTTGGGATCCTGATAAGGTTGGGTCAAGAATATAGCCAAGGTGTTTATGATGATTTTTTCTTTGAATTGTGCATTGTTAAGGGTCAAAAAGGGATAATTTTCATTTTTTACTTTTGAGAAAACAATTTCAACTGAATTTTCCGGGCACATATAAAGATGTGTCATCAGCATAGATGAATGATTTTGAATTTAACCTATCAGGCAGATCATTTATATAAAGGAGAAACATAATTGGCCCAATTATACTTCCTTGAGGTACAGATAGACCAATGAAGTGTTCATCTGATGAATTTGAAAGTTGTCCTTCTACATTAACTCTAGCCGTATTAGTTAGACCCAAAACATTCCTCAACTATAGATGGCTTTGATATAGTAAAATATTATAGCGTTTGGGAAAAATCATGTTTATACACCCTTTATGACAAAATGAGGACACTTTGATGACAGATAGTAATTTTACAAATCATCACAAATAATCCAAAGTTTGGGATGTATTCACAATACATATCATTAGTTAGTCGTAAAGATTTAAAGATTGTGTGTTTGTATAAATTCTTCAAAATGCAGGCCCGGGGCCATGGGGGGTTCCTGGCCGAAAGTACTTTCCAAATCAGTCTTTCACCATTCCGAGCACTTATTAAGTGATTTTGGCCATTTTTGGACCAAAATTGTCAAAAGTGAGCCCCCTGGAATTTTCTAAAAGGTGACCCCCTCCCCTGGCAAATCCTGGCTACGGGCCTGAAATGGATATACTGATTCAACCTTATCAATTGATAGGCGATTGGAAAATGACAAATATGAACAAAATAAGTACTTTCGAACCAATACTAGCATTTAGGTTAAAAATTAAAAGCATTACGCAACCTATTTAATGAATCTTGTAGACAAAATCAAAATAAAGTTCCAAATGAATTCGAAAATATTTGTAATAAAAATGTACTAATATTTTTAATAGAGACGTATTTTATGCTTATAGTCTTAAAGTGAAATCAAAATTTATCAGCTTTAAACAAAGCTTTCCGAGCTTTATAAAATGGACTTTAATGTAAGGAAGGGAGATGGTTTGGATTACTTAATAAATGCTGTGAACCTGGATTAATATACCTTCGTTTGATAATTTAACAAGTAAAACATTGCAGTTTTGCATCTTGCGACTGCAAAATATTGCAAATAAAATGAAAAATATATAGAAATGTATAACTTCATTGTCTGAAATAAATACCCACTGTAAAGAAAAAAGGTGCATTGTCCTTTACCAATCATATCTTTTTTATTTTTCGTTATTATCATACCAAACATTCATAAGTATAATCTATGTAAACTTTGACCATGTACCTTTTGTCTTTGCAGAGGGTATACATATTAAAATATAAGTATGAGCTGTACGTTTACCTCGAGAACAGTATGAGTAACATAAATTGAACCTTTTTAATAGCATTGATTTATTACCATTTAGTCCACGGACGAATCTGACAACTTTGTTAGCGAGATCATTTCTTTCAGCTTCCTTGAGTTTAACCTCAAGACGATTCATCATTGCCTGGCTGTCTTTTCCATATTCTGGTTGCTTTTTACTCCAACGCACCAGCACCTCATATCCCCACCGTTCAGCATTATGTGGGTGGCTCTGTTTAATGTTATCAATATTGATATCTAATAAGACGCTGATTTTGTCAACGTCATGACCCATACATTGACCTATCTTCGAGAAAAACTTCTTTAGTTTATCTTCCTCTGAAATAAAGAGAAACATATCAAATCCTTACAACGTCGTGTAGAAAAGGTTACACTTTGAGGCTGATCATACATTAGTTATTCAAACAGGACCAATAGAATGACATTTATCTACTTGGGTATGTGAGTATGCTAATGGAAAGCGGAACGTAGGATAATGTTCTGATTATGCTTTTCGGGGTATGGGGGTTACAAATTGTTTGATAAGCCCTATTTATTTTATATTTTCATATTTAGGGTATATACTCAACACTGTTTGGGAAACATCAAGTCTCACGATGATTTGTCTAGTAGTATTCAAATGACCCCATCTTTGTCGTATTTTCTACTAGGCTCAACAACTATTTATAAGTTATGATACGTCTGTCTCATAATAGATTACTGGTGTACAAGATGTTGCTTTTTACCTTTCTATTGTGATAGGCAATTGCATATAAGTTGAACCAAATATGTCGATTGTAACTCGAATCATCAAAGATAACATTTTTCAAGGAAAATGGCATCCAAAATAGTTTTAAAGTTCCCTCGCCAGATCTGATAAAAGAATACAATACAATGCATAGCACCTTACCACTAAGTTGTTGACGTCCCGTGTTACCTTTATTCTCATCACACATATGTTCTCAACTCAATAATTTTTCGTTTATGAATACCAAATGTATGTCCGCAAATATAAACATTTAGAAACAAGTTTTTCATTCAAATACATGTATTGTATATTAACTTACGTTTCGAATTTGTTGCATTGTTGGCCTTGGAAAATCGCACGTTTCCATCATTGCCCGATTCTGTAAACATGAAAGTATATAAATAGTCCATGGTATGACTTCCGAATATGAAGGATACGTAGCACACTACAGCGCAGCAACATTTGAAGCAATATTTAAGTAGGTGTATATGTCTTGATTCTTATAAAATACCATTTGCTGAAAAAACTTCCGGCTTTCGGGTTGAAAAATGTCTCGTCACAAGGGGTCAAAAAACGTAAATATTTTGAATAGAACTTTTATACAGTTTATAAGACACAGACCGCTATTCTAAACATAAGCACAAAAATAGATTATCATAATGTAAAAATTTATTATAATTTTACTGTAAATGTCGGTGTTTAATTAGTGTAATTACACAAGTATGCTTTTCAGATTTCGTTTGATTTTTCAAATATTTGTGGAATATTTAGGTAATTTATGATTGCGAACATATTAGTTTTCTTATTATTTAAAATATTTCATTACCAGCATCTATCCATATCATTATCATTGCAAGGGGTCAAACATAAAATTATTGATCATGTTTTACAAAACATTAAACAATAACAAATGGGTAAGATTTATATCTAATTAAATGTTACAGAGGTATTGGAATGTTCATATACTAGTATTCCAAGGGCATGTCTAACTTGTTCTTAAGCACATTTACACTAGACTCCGTCGTAAAGCAATTCCACAAGAAGTTTCAGATGACTAGCTCTACACCCTATGCAGACAGAGCCTGTGGGAAATATTGGGTGCGGCGCAAATGAGCGGAGGGTGCGGAGCTAACGGTCATTTTTGAATTTAAAATTTGGATATTTCTGAAACTAAGCCGTTTTGGGACTTCAAATATACCAAGATATGTGTATTTGACACCAAATATCAATAAAATTGTGAAAATAGTAGTGCAATTCATTTTATAGCGACGCAGTATGCCTTAAACATTTCCCAGACCTATATATTTTGAGACTATCCTTTTAATACTGCGTCCCCAGCATTCATAAAAATGAATCAAAGGTATTAAAAAAACGAATCAAAGGTATTAAAATCTGAGGTAAAACTGCCAATTGGGGGTTCCGACCATAGCTCTGTTTCAGCACTTTTAGATTTCTCTCTGCCTGATAGACATGCAGGGGATTATAAGCAGATCTGGCATTACAGTGATGCTAACATTTTACAGTTGAATCAAGCTGTATCTGATTTTAACTGGGATGCACTTTTATCTCACGAAGACATTGATACTGTCACTGTAAATTTTACCAATGCATTGTTTGAGATTTTTCAAACTTATATTCCATCCAAAGTGAAATTTATAAAGAAAAGTGATATGCCCTGGTTTAATCATGAAGTGAAATCAGCATTAAATAAGAAAGATAAATTGTATAGAAAATTAATTAAAAATAGAAATGATTTTAACTTCACAACATTTAAACATCAATGTGATTTAGTCTCAGATGCAATTGTTCATGCAAAAACCAGTTATCAGGACAAGGTGTGCAGTAATCTTGATGAAGAGGCAGCTAGTAAGAAAAATTATTGGACCATCATTAAAAAATTAATAGGTTCTAAATTTGCATCAGGAATTCCTTTTTTAGAGATTAACAGGACGATCATTGAAGATGACCATGCTAAAGCTAATGCATTTCTCCATCAATTTTTACAGAAATTTCATCACAACATTGTTGATCAAACTTTACCAACTTGTCAAAGAAAAACTGATAACATGCTAAATGAAATTGATCTTTCACAGCAGTCCATAAATAAACATTTGAGGGAGCTTAAATCAAACAAAAAGGGGGGTGATGATAACATTACAAATAAAATGCTTAAACTGGTGGCAGATTCACTTGATGCAGAACTTCATAAACTTTTTAAACTCATTCTTACTAAAGGCAAATTTCCTAATTGTTGGAAGCAGGGCATTATTGTCCCCATTTTCAAAAATAAATCCTCAAAAGTTGACCCAGGGAACTATCGGCCAGTTTGCCTTTTAAGTAATATTTCCAAAATTTTTGAACGCGTCATATATGATTCAATATTCAAACATGTGTCATCTAACAATCTTTTGTATCAGAACCAATCCGGGTTTTTACCTGGGCATGACACTCAGAAACAACTTGTATCTATTGTAAATATGATTACTTCAAATTTTGACCATAATATTTCTACTAGAGGGATCTTTCTTGATATTGAGGGTGCGTTTGACGGCGTCCCCCACTACTTACTTCTCCATAAGCTAAAATCATACGGTATCTGTGAGAACATTATTAATCTGATAGGGTCCTACCTTAATAACAGAAAATTAAAAGTTAGGGTGAATGGTACAACTTCAATAAATTCAGATACTCTATATGACAATATTGATGGGACAATGGAAGGGATTCTAGGGACAGGAGGAAGGGATTTAGGGGGGTTTGACAAAGGATTAATAAATTGTGGGGTTCCTCAAGGGTCAATATTAGGTCCCCTGTTTTTCTTACTTTATATCAATGACCTAGCCGATGCAGTTTTAAATAGCACTCTGTACCTTTATGCTGATGATAGCTCAATTTTTCTACCTGTCAAAAAGGAGGACTCAGTTCATGAAACTTATCTAAAACTCCAAAGCGATGTTAATAGAATAGAGATCTGGTCAAAGACTTGGAAATTAAAATTTAAGACAAGTAAAAGTAAGGAAGTGTTTTTCCAGTCCAAAACTAGAACTCCAATTGCTCAAATTCCTATTGTGTTAAATGGTGACTCTATCCCTTTCACCAATAGTCACAAACATCTTGGACTTATTTTAGACAAGGCTTTAAACTTTGAAGAACACATTAACAGTATAATTGTTAAATGTAACAGGATGTTGAACCCATTTATGGCACTAAAACATAACTTAAGATCACAACATCTAGAGATGATTTATATGGCATTTATACTACCTCACTTAGAATATGGGAATATCATTTTTGATTGTGCAAACTTAAATTTACTTTCTAAATTGGACAGTATTCAGTATAGGGCAGCATTGATTGTCAGTGGATGTACCCAAGGTACAAATGCAACCAAAGTCACCTCATGCTTAGGTTGGAGGTCCCTAGGGGCCAGGAGGGATGAAAAGAAACTATTGTTTACTTATGACGTCATAAATAACAACAAAATGCCTTCCTATGTAAACCAGGCCTTTTCTTTATATAGAAATCATAATGTAATGAATAATGTAAATCGGTTACGCAGAGTCAGATCTTTCAGAATACCAGCTCACTGTAAGGCCAAGATCAGAAAGGGTACGGTGATATCTTGTATAACAGCATGGAAGAAACTGCCTGGTGATTTGAAAGCTATCCAATCTAGAAATTGTTTTAAGTTTAACCTGAGGAAACATATCCAAAATTCTAAAATAAAGCTACCTACTCCAAAATTGCATCTTGATAGGAAGACAGAATCAACTTTGAATAAGACTCGATGTGACTTTATTTTTAGGCAGCATTTATTCACACATAATTTTAGAAACATTGATATTCCAAGTTGTAATTGTGGCTTTAGATCACAGTCTACAATGCACCTATTATTACACTGCCCTCTATTCATTGTTCAGCGAAACTTGTTTTTGGAAGAACTTGGGGAACTGCCATCCTTTGATTTAACCGTGTTTGGTCAACTCAGACAGCAAGACAGGGTAAATTATTTGTTATACGGTGATTGCTCATTATCGTATCTGACAAATCAGAAAATTGTTGAAATGACTGCAGGTTTTCTGCAGTTAATTGTTACTATTTTAAATGAGTAAGTTTTTATTTTTATATACTGTTCTGCATTACCGAGTTGATCCTTAAATCTCATTGCAACTTCACTTTACATTATATAAATTCTTGACTACCAGGGCCAATAATGCATTGCTTCGGCCCTTGCTGTGTTTGTAATTTGTTTTGTTTAAATGATAATAAAAAACTTTAAACCTTAAAATAACATTTATAAATTGTCCTGATGTAAATAAAATGAAAAAAAGTATTATTTATCAACAGAAATTTAAAATTCACCGTGCGGCTGCAGTGGGAAATGTGACTGCAAAAGTATGAGAGCGCAGAAATTCTGCGGCGAGCGTAGAAAAGCAACTGACCGCAGAAATGATAGACCGCACGGCGGCCACAGGAAATGTGACTGGGGTGTAACACCCCAGTCACATTTGTCGCACGGCGGCCGCAAGTCGACCGCAGAACAATTAAATCGGTGAATTTCTGCGGCGAGCGTAGAAAAACTACGCTCGCCTTGCGGCCTCCGTACGGCGTATGCAGATTTTTACAGGCCGCAGGGAAGGCGTAGAAATTATAACTCGGAGTTAAAATATTTGTTCATTTCTGAGGTCTCCGTAGAAATCAACTGGCTCAACAAGATTGAATCATTATTTGTCAATGTTTCACGATCACTTTTCATTTGATATTACATCCTAGCACTTTGAATAACATTTATAAAGTGTCCTGATGTAAATAAAATGAAAAAAACTATTATTTATTAATAGAAATTTAAAATTCACCGTGCGGCTGCCGTGGGAAATGTGACTGCAAAAGTATGAGAGCGCAGAAATTCTGCGGCGAGCGTAGAAAAGCTACTGGCCGCAGAAATGATAGACCGCAAGGTCGCCGTAGGAAATGTGACTGGGGTGTAACACCCCAGTCACATTTGTCGCACGGCGGCCGCAAGTCGACCGCAGATCAATTAAATCGGTGAATTTCTGCGGCGAGCGTAGAAAAACTTCGCTCGCCTTGCGGCCTCCGTACGGCGTATGCAGATTTTTACAGGCCGCAGGGAAGGCGTAGAAATTATAACTCGGAGTTATAATATTTGTTCATTTCTGAGGTCCCCGTAGAAATCAACTGGCTCAACAAGATTGCATCATTATTTTTCAATGTTTCACGATCACTTTTCATTTGATATTACATCCTAGCACTATGAATAACATTTATAAATTGTTTCGATGTAAATAAAAAAGTATTATTTATCAACAGAAATTTAAAATTCACCGTGCGGCTGCCGTGGGAAATGTGACTGCAAAAGTATGAGACCGCAGAAATTCCACGGCGAGCGTAGAAATGTTACTGGCCGCAGAAATGATAGACCGCAAGGTCGCCATAGGAAATGTGACTCCTATTTCATTTGAATCTAATCAAACACTTCGTCCACCATTTTGGAACACTAATCAATCCAATTTGTGCTAGGGGCGAGCCATTTGGGATATTTCCAGGGTTCGTACACACCTGGACATGTCAGGGAAATTAACTTGATTTTCCAAGTGCTGGAAATGTAAGGTAATTTTAAAATTAGGTCAAAAGGGCCAAAGATGACCGGGAATTTTGAAACGGTAGATATGTCAGGGAAATGTCAGGGAAATTTGTATCAGTGTTGAAAAAATAATGTTCCAGAAAAAAATTAGGACTATGCAAGATATCAATGAAATCCAAAATGTAATATTTAGTTGATTCCACAGGCTAAAGTATGAAAACGTATTACATATATCTAAAAAATTTACACTGTCTTGATTAATGAATTTCATAGATCTAGAGGCCCTTCAGGAGTGGAAAACCTTATATTATCAGAGATTAATGTTTCCAAACTGTTTTGAAACAAACTAACGTCTTGTTTTCAACCTACACCTTGCTCCTTTCTGTCGTATTTAATAAAACAAAAATAGTATATCACGGAGGGATACGAACCACTCCCCTGGGACTTGGTTATTCACTAGCGCCATAGGCGTTCTACTATTCTGGATACAACTGACGAGTCGTATTTAAGTGGAGACAAAAGTGAGGATCATGTTGAATTGACGCTCGGTATAAATATATAATACTTTTGTTCTTTCATATCGATAGCTCGTTGGCCTCATGGTTAGCGTGCCTGGCTTCCATTGTCTAGGTTAGTTGATCGAGACCCGTTCATGCCGAACTTTTTGATTTGCTTGTTGTCAGGATATAATAAGTAGGGCAAAATCCAGAAAAAGTAGATCAAAAATACTCCAATGGAGTATAAAATTGTCACCAGGATTCCGGAATGAGACGAATGTTAACTCGTGAAATCTCGGTAGATAAAGTAGGTCAGAAAATCCGGATTAATCCGAACAAGGTTCGGGAATTTCCGTCATAAGAAGTAGGTCAAAAATACTCCAATGGAGTATAAAATTGTCACCAGGATTCCGAAATACGACGAATCGAATTGGCAAACTTCGGTGCAATAATGAAGTGCATAAAAATCGTGAAACAGGTGTCAGGGGCTTCCCCTCATCTTTCCATACATGGTTCTAAAAGCCTTATATGGATCTATCACGTGACATTCAAAATGACGTTCCTATATGGTTCTATGGGCCTTATATGGATCTTTCGAACACGTGACCTAATACCAAATCAAAATCAAAATTTTACCTTGACCATTGGATGGGATTTCATAGAAAATATCAAAGAAAACATATTCTCGTGATCCTTAAATCACTTAAATTCGATCATTTTATCTTCACCCCTTGATGGAATTTTATGAAAGAAGTTATGAAAACACATCATCATGTAAGGGTTTTCACCTAAATGAGCTCGTTTTATCTTGACCCTTCAATTGAATTTCATTGAAAAAAGTTTCATGAAAAATATAATCATGTTATGATTTGTATTTAAATAAAACCGTTTCATCTAAATACTTGCTGGATAATATTTCATAAAAAATGCACTTTAAAAATATTTCAGGATTTGCCTTAATTTATCAATGTAATGTAAGTATATATTAGATTGACTCTCAAATAGGGTTCTATTTTAACTTTTTTATTGAAATTAATACTAGGCAGGACTCACTCTCTAAATAGCTAATAAAAATTCAACCCTTGGATGTGATTTCGTTGAAAAAAAATATGACAAGTCCAGAATCAAATGATTTGTCCAGAACCTCTTAAGATCCTGTTTTATTTACACAAATTAAAAGTACTATATTTAGTGTTTATTTCCCTTTATCAGATATTGCCAAAATTATGTTAATTATGAAAAGAATTGAGCAAAATTCCAATTTGGTTAAGAAATTGACCAAGGAACATCTTAAGATTTCCTTTAAACTTAACAAAATCACAAGATGAGACACAATGGTTTTTGTTCATGATCAGACTGATGATCAAACAATACCTACTACATATTGATATTCTCATGGGTTTGGGCAAATCAGAATGCTTGAACAGCCAATTAAAACGGTTGAACAGCTAATTAAAACGGTTGAACAGCTAATTAAAATGGTTGAACAGCTAATTAAAACGGTTGAAC